TAACAAATTCCCACCTCCCTCTGACGCACACCTCCATTATTACCAAACCACATAAAACTAGGGGTGTCAAATTTTAGGAACCCGACTCGAGCATGACCGACACAAAAATAAAAAATAATACGATAAGTTAAAATGAGTAATAAATAGACTAAATTAAGGTTCAACACGAATAACACGATTAACGGATATTGTACATAAAAAATAAGTATTTAACAAGTATTGTAGACATAAAATAAAAAAAAATTAATGTTTTAATTTTTTAAATAGTATTATACGAGCTATTGTAAAATTAAATAATTTTTTATTGACACGAACACGACACATACAAAAAGTGATTCAACATAAAATTAACAAGACCAAAAATAATATAACACAAAAATAATACGATACAACACGATTGAGACACTACGTAAAACTATGTTCCTCTGTCTCTCCATATGTTTCTATATAAAAAACCATACTACCAAAAATGCAACTTCCCACACCCATTGACCTTATCCACAACATAATCCCAGCACTAACAAACAATCATCGGTGGGCCTAGCCATTACCTCTTCCTCCTCATTTTCTATGCGACACTTGTTGTCTGTCGAGATTGTCGGCCTTGCTAGGCCTCCACTTCGATGTCGTCGGGAGGATGACGCCACCGTGACGAGGGCTGTCAATCAACTATTTAAGCTTGACTCAAATTTAGCTCAAACTTTATTTAGGTTCGATTTATTTTTTAAACGAGTCCGAAATTGAACAAATTTTTAAAATTCGTTTAAAAAACAAAATTGACAAGTTCGGCTCAAACTAAATAGACTCGATTCGTTTATATGCAAACACTTGTGCTTGTTTCAGATTCGACTCATTTTGAACTCGTTCATACTCAATTCATTTTATAAACAAATTAAACTTAAATAATTTTTTAACCTTGCGTAATAAAATAAGTTTTTTAAACTCGACTCAAACTCGTACGACTAACAGCCCTACCTGTTATTCTCCAAAATTGGATGACTTTGGTGAGATTTTTACCTTCATTAATTGGAGGGCAATCAAGATTCCTTTTCTTTTTTTTTTTGGACTAATCACAAATTGCATCCTAAAATATCAAAAATCTTAATTTACCCCATTAAAGATAAAAATTTATATTAATGCGCACCTGAAGCTAACAGACATCTAAAAATTAAATGGATAAATTACATCTAAACTTCTTCATGCTTGTCACTTAATCATTTAGATATCTCATATTTGAAATATTACGCCTACATCCTTTGAGAATTCAAATATGACTAAAAATATTCTCCCAATTGGGCATCTAAATAATTATGTTTAAATAATGTATTGCATTAGATATAAAGAATATTATATAAATACCTACATTATATTACGCATTTAAATGGAAAGCTTGATTTTGAATTTTAGAGTATAACGAGCCCACAAAATAAATGGTAGTATGAAAATTATAAATTTTTACTATTATGAAATTATTTTTTAACGGTTATATTAATAGATATCAACAATAAAGAGTTATGTGTTGCACGTGCATAAATGTCAGGAGTTGTACGAGTAATATTCTAAATATGAGGGGTCCAAATGATTACATGTCAAACTTAAAATGTCTAAGTGTAACTTATCCAACTAATTTTAGAAGACAAATTGACAGTTGTTAGCTTCAAGTGCGCATTAATACATATTTATATTTTTGAGGATGTAAATTAAGATTTTTGAACTTTAAATGTATAAATTGAGATTCGAATGATGTTTGAGGGTATAATTTGTAATTAACCATTTTTTTCCTTAGTTTACGATTTTTATGAGTATGACCATTTTCAAATTTCATTTCCTCCCTTTCTTTGACAAGGAAAGAGATAGAAATAAGTATTTAATCTCCAATTTCATGGAATTCAGGTTTATTGACTTGAGAAAAATAGTCATCTATATTTTATTTATTATATTTGATGTGTCAGATCCAAGGGCCCAACTCAAATTAGAAACCTAGTTTGAATTAGGAGTCCAACTAGAAAAGATCCAATGTGTCTAGTCAAAAGAGGTCCACACTCAGTCAATCTTATCAGAGTTCGAGCTGCTACATCACTAAAGGAGTAGACAGGGTCATTCCAAGAGTCTCATCCAAGCCACATTGGAGTAAACGTCAACCCAAGAGCCTCATCCAAGCCACCTTGGAATAAGGGTCATCCCAAGAGATACCTTGGAGTAAGGGTCATTTCAAGAGCCATCTTAGAGAAAGCGTCATCCCAAAAGTCTTATCCAAGCCACCTTAGAGTAAAGGTCATCTCAAGATCCTCATCCAAGTCACCTTGGAGTAAGGGTCATTCCAAAAGCCTCATCCAAGCCACATTGGAGTAAGGTTTATTCAAGAGTCTCATCCACGCTACCTTAGAAGAAGTCAACCACCACGTCATCCTTTCATCGAATCTTATAGGGAAAGTCTTAACTGCCTCATTCGTTGAGAAGATGACATCAACTCCACCAAATTAGTCTTTTAGTTATTAATAAGGCGCCTCAATCTGTTAGGAGGCAATTATAAATTGTAAGCCTCACCAATATTTGGGGAGCACCACACACAATCGAGCACATCTGCTATCACTCTTCCCTATCTCTCATAGCTTGTATCTCCCTGCTCTCCCAACACTCCTCAAAGAAATAAAATACCCAGGCGACCCTAGCCCTTTATAGTGGATGTAGGTCAAGTTGAATGAACTACTCTACATCTTTGTCTTGCTTGTGTTGTTCTCTTACTTCTTAATTATCGCATTAATTACTAATCACTTGACATGTGGTGCATAATACCAATTTATGTATCATCAGTTTGGCGTCATCTGTGAAATATGACAAAATTCTCACCTGATCACTTTTTCCTATTATACCAATGACGATCACCATAAGATCCATAAATCAACCCGAAGATAATCCACTATGAGAGGAAGAGGTTGCACTCCACCAACCAATCTGATTTCGAATGCATAGCAGATGCTGGAAACAATACAGTAGCTTGTGGCTCAAAGTCAATAGATCCTGCAACTGAAGCTCGTTAGACAACAAGTAGGGGCATAGCCTAGAGGACCTCAAGCTAGAGGAGCTCAACACCCTGTGTGCCAAGGAGCTCCTATTTGGGGGCACCCCATATAGGGGAGCCCTACACCAAAACTATGAGGGACCTCCACCTCCTCCTCAAGCTCCCTCTTCTCATGGTGGAGACTTTCATTTCCAAGAGGATGAGTGCAATAATCAAAGTGTAGAGCATGAAAATCATTTCTATGACAATTCCAAAGGAGCCTCAAATCACTAGAATGAAAAAATCAAAGAAGTACAAAATTAACAGGGCTACGTCTTCAATGCCATAAACGCACAAGGACCAAAAACTGTGGACAAATTGACACACCTTTTTGTGCCAGATGTGGCAAACTACACTCTACCCCAAAAGTTCAAAATGTCATTCGTTGTAAGCTTTGATGGCACAAAAGACCCACTTGATCACCTTGAAACTTATAAATCGTTGATGCAGCTACACAATGTTCCTGATGAAATCATGTGTAGGGCTTTCCCAACTACCTTGAAGGGATTTGTCTGATAGTGGTTCACCAAACTCATCCCAGCCTCCATAGGCTCCTTCGCCGAACTAAGCAGATCCTTTATGACACAGTTCATTGGTGGAAACTGCCAAAAGAAGCCTACCACTCATTTGTTCAGCGTAAAATAGGCTCAAGACGAAAGTCTGGGAAGTTACCTCACTCGTTTTAACGAGGATGTCCTCCAAATCGAGGAGCCCAATGACAAAGTCACCATGACTGCTTTTCTAGGAGGCCACCGCTCATCAAATTTCCTCTTTTCAGTAATAAAGTGAGCAACAAAGAACATGCCAGAACTATTAGCAAAAGCTCAAAAATATATGAATACTGAGGAAATCAATAGGTCCAGGTGAGATGAATCATCTCACAGGTCACCAAAAGCTCTCCAACTTAGCGACTCTTTCGCAGGTTGCCAAAGCTTGCCTTATCTCTGCTCTGCTCTCAAGTAGGCAGCCTATGTCTCCAGTTTAGCGGCTCTCTTGTGGGTCGCCAAAAACTTGGCCTATTTTTGCTATGCTTTTAAGCAGGTAGCATATCTTTCCAGCTTAGCGGCTTTCTCGCAGGTCACCAAAAACTTAACTTATCTCTGTTCTGCTCTTAAGCAGTCAACCTATGTCTCCAGCTTATTGGCTTTCTCACGGGTTTTCAAAAGTTTGATCTATCTTTGTTCTGCTCTCAAGCAGACAACCTATGTCTCCAGTTTAGCAGCTCTCTCGCGGGTCACCAAAAGCTTGGTCTATCTCTACTCTACTTTCAAGCAGGTAACCTATACCTCCAACTTATCGACTCTCTCATAGGTCGACAAAAGCTCGACCTGAAAAGGTGTAGCTCTCTTACAAGCAACCCTCAAATTCTATCTTTGTTCTCATGCGGACAACCTCACAATTAGCCTACCTCCCGCTTAATGACTCTCTCACGGTTTCAAGAAGCTCAGTCTCAAGAGTCGCAACTCTCTCACGAGTAACCTCAAACTCTGTCTTTACTCTCATGCAAACAACCTCCATTTCACTATAGGGCAATGTCTCTGCCCCTCTCTCCAGATAATCATGTTAGATAATTTGATATTCAAGTAACATTGTTTTTGTCATCTCTAGGCACACTCTTAAAACTCAAGCCGTCTGCAACCTGAGAGACTACATTAGATTGAATGTCAACAATCAAGCCTCATCATTTTTGTAGCCATCCGACACCGTCGCCTCGTTGCCACAACGCTCCCGCACTTAACACCTAGCGTAAATAATGCCTACGTGCTCCCAACACTAAGAATTTGGCACCTGCTTGCCTCATGGCACCCCCACCTAGTGCTCTGCCTCCTAGTGCCCCGTTCTTAGCGTGTCCCCACATGGTGCCTAACTCCTGGCATCCCTTCTTCCTGCACTTGTGTAGCCCCATGCCTAGCATCCACAACTACCGCTCCTAGTTCGCCTAACATCGAAGATCCCGCTGGCATCGCACGTTCACCAGCACGCTCGCCAGGCCGTGCGTAATGCCCGGCGATGCCGCTGCGTGCTCCCCTGGCTGAGCCCAGCCCACAGCGATGCCTTCTCCATGATCAGCACACCCACTAGCCAATGCCCAAAGTGCCTCGCCTTCAAGGTTCTGGGTCACCTCGCTTGGCAGTGCCTCACCCTTAGCAGTGCCCATGAACCTTGCGCATGGCATCTTCGCCCATCCTCGAGGCCTAGTCATGTCTTTCGCACCTCATCACCGGAGCCCACATGTACCTCCTTGTCACCCTCGACGCCCATGGAGCACCCAGGCTCGCCAACACCCGCTGCCTCTCCGGTGCCAGCCTGTACGCCAGTTTCAACGTTGATTGCTCCGTCGTTGCCTACCTCCTCTCTGATGAAAATGACTTCTTGCATCTCCCCTCCTTCATCCGACAACGGTCTCTGGTCACTTAGCTCATGGGTAACCTCCCTGGCCTCACTCAAATTGTTACCACTCATGGTCATGAACCGTATCAAGAATGAAAAGGGGTTATTAGTCAAAAGGAGTCTCCATCAGCCAGAATTCAAATTCAACCAAATGTCCTCTTCTTCAAGTTTCATTGGAAATAGGGCATTGGGGGGCAAATGATGTGTCAGGCCCAAGGGCTCAACTCAAGTTATAAGCCCAGTTTGAATTAAATGTCTAACTAGAAAAGATCCAATGGGTCCAACCCAAAAGAGGTCCACGCCCAGTCAAGCTCATTAGAGTTTGAGGAACTACATCTCCAAGAGAGTAGGTAGGGTCATCCCAAGAGCCTCATCCAAGCCACCTTAGAGTAAGCATCATCCTGAAAGCCTCATCCAAGCCACCTTGGAGTAAGGACATCCCAAGAGCCTCATCCAAGCCACCTTGTAGTAAGTGTCATCCCAAGAGCCTCATCCAAGCCACCTTGGAGTAAGCGTCATCCTAATAATCTCATTTAAGACACCTTGGAGTAAGGTCGTCTAAGAGCCTCATCTACGCCTCATCACAGCCACCTTGGAGGAAGGGTCATCCAAGAGCCTTATTCATGCCGCTTTGGAAGAAGTCAACCACCACGTCATCTTTTGACTAGATCTTATGGGGAGCGCAGTAACAGCCTTATCCGTTGAGAAAATGATGCCAGCTCCACCAAATTAGCCTTTTATTTACTGACAAGCCTCAATCTTTTAGGAGGTGACTATAAATTATAAGCCCACCAATATTTGGGAGGCATCACACATAATTAAGCACAGCTTCTATCACTCTCTCCTGTCTTTTATAGCTTGTATCTCCCTGCTCTACCAACACTCCTCGAAGTAATAAAATACTCAGACGACCTAGCCCTTGATAGTGAATGTAGATCAAGTTGATTGAACCACTCTACATCTTTGTCTTGCTTGTTTTTCTCTCTTACTTCTTAATTACTACATTAATTACTAATCATTTGACAAGTGGTGCATAATACTAATATGTGTGTCATCAATACTATAACTAGATTTCTTAATGCTCTATTTATTTCTTAATGCTCTATTTAAGATGGAATTGAGGTCTTGGGGAGAAACAACTACCCTTTTTTCACAGTACGTGGGCCCCTGATGTGTTCTTTTCATTGTTTAAGCAACTCTCATTGTGGTTTTCTCTGCTGTGATATTTCATTGTCGATGTCCTCTTTTCATGTAGTGTTGTTAGAAGGAGATATAAAATTTTGATATAAATTTATTCTTGTGTACAATAGTAAAACATTCAATATCTAAAAGAAAATGGGTTATGAGACAACATTTTCCAAGTGTTATAAATAAGGGATAAGTTAAAACACTACAAGAAAACAAATAATTTGTCGCTGAAAGTAAATAATTCTCTGCTAAAGGTTTTTCGTGACAAACAAATTTCTTCGCACATTGTGGCAGTAAGCTCATCTCTGAAAATATTTGGCGACAAACAAAAATATCTTCGTTAAAAGTAGAGAATTAGCGACCAAAACTTAGCCTCAAAAAAAAAATCATCTGGTTATTACAAAACAACCTTCGTCATTGAAGGAGTTTTCGATTGTGGTTGAATTTTCTATTTTTGGAGATGACATAGTTTTCGTCACTGAAAATTAAGATACCTCTTGTGACCAACGTAATTTCTTCATCAAACAATGAAAGGATACTTTCTCCCTTAAATAATAGGAAAAAAAATCTATTTGCCACCATAAAATATGGAGATTTTTAGCGTCCAAATTTTGCTCATTGCCAAACACAATCTTTTAAATATTGGCATTTTATGATTACATTTGTCCCTATAATAATCCAATATATATTCATCAAAATGTTTTAATCATTAAAGACCGTGAAAAATATCCCTTAAAATAAAAAAATCATAATTTCCGAAGCATCCATACAAAAACCCATACTAAAAGATTCATACAAGAACTCATACCAAAAACATTCATCCATAATCTCATACAAAAATCCTACACCAAAACATCCTTGTAATCAAAAACCCATAATAAAAAATATCCAGACACCCCAATATCCAAATGTCACAAGAATTTAAACTACATAAGAGATTGTATAGCCAAATGAACTCCAAGTAATCTATCATCAATCTGCATCACACACAATAAAAGTACTTTAACACAACTAAAAAATTCGTTACTAGAATAAAAAATATTGTACATAAAAATATACATCAATTCAGTTTATAAATTGTAATAATTTGATCTATTTTTGTTTATATCTAGCTACCAAGCCTAAATTTGAGAGTTTGCTTCTCTCTAGGTGTAAATTTTTGAACGTGTGTGTGTGTGTGAGAGAGAGAGAGAGAGAGTGTGGATTCTGTGTGTGTGTTGTGATAGATTTTGTGTGCGTGAGAGAGAGAGGGGGAGAGAGAGAGTATACAAATTAATTTGTGCTCATGCGTTTTATTCCATTGNAGAGTGTGGATTCTGTGTGTGTGTTGTGATAGATTTTGTGTGCGTGAGAGAGAGAGGGGGAGAGAGAGAGTATACAAATTAATTTGTGCTCATGCGTTTTATTCCATTGATGTGTGACATTGTTTTATTTCATCCTNCTTAGCGTGTCCCCACATGGTGCCTAACTCCTGGCATCCCTTCTTCCTGCACTTGCGTAGCCCCATGCCTAGCATCCACAACTACCGCTCCTAGCTCGCCTAACATCGAAGATCCCGCTGGCATCGCACGTTCACCAGCACGCTCGCCAGGCCGTGCGTAATGCCCGGCGATGCCGCTGCGTGCTCCCCTGGCTGAGCCCAGCCCACAGCGATGCCTTCTCCATGATCAGCACACCCACTAGCCAATGCCCAAAGTGCCTCGCCTTCAAGGTTCTGGGTCACCTCGCTTGGCAGTGCCTCACCCTTAGCAGTGCCCATGAACCTTGCGCATGGCATCTTCGCCCATCCTCGAGGCCTAGTCATGTCTTTCGCACCTCATCACCGGAGCCCACATGTACCTCCTTGTCACCCTCGACGCCCATGGAGCACCCAGGCTCGCCAACACCCGCTGCCTCTCCGGTGCCAGCCTGTACGCCAGTTTCAACGTTGATTGCTCCGTCGTTGCCTACCTCCTCTCTGATGAAAATGACTTCTTGCATCTCCCCTCCTTCATCCGACAACGGTCTCTGGTCACTTAGCTCATGGGTAACCTCCCTGGCCTCACTCAAATTGTTACCACTCATGGNTGCATCTCCCCTCCTTCATCCGACAACGGTCTCTGGTCACTTAGCTCATGGGTAACCTCCCTGGCCTCACTCAAATTGTTACCACTCATGGTCATGAACCGTATCAAGAATGAAAAGGGGTTATTAGTCAAAAGGAGTCTCCATCAGCCAGAATTCAAATTCAACCAAATGTCCTATTCTTCTAGTTTCATTGGAAATAGGGCATTGGGGGGCAAATGATGTGTCAGGCCCAAGGGCTCAACTCAAGTTATAAGCCCAGTTTGAATTAAATGTCTAACTAGAAAAGATCCAATGGGTCCAACCCAAAAGAGGTCCACGCCCAGTCAAGCTCATTAGAGTTTGAGGAACTACATCTCCAAGAGAGTAGGTAGGGTCATCCCAAGAGCCTCATCCAAGCCACCTTAGAGTAAGCATCATCCTGAAAGCCTCATCCAAGCCACCTTGGAGTAAGGACATCCCAAGAGCCTCATCCAAGCCACCTTGTAGTAAGTGTCATCCCAAGAGCCTCATCCAAGCCACCTTGGAGTAAGCGTCATCCTAATAATCTCATTTAAGACACCTTGGAGTAAGGTCGTCTAAGAGCCTCATCTACGCCTCATCACAGCCACCTTGGAGGAAGGGTCATCCAAGAGCCTTATTCATGCCGCTTTGGAAGAAGTCAACCACCACGTCATCTTTTGACTAGATCTTATGGGGAGCGCAGTAACAGCCTTATCCGTTGAGAAAATGATGCCAGCTCCACCAAATTAGCCTTTTATTTACTGACAAGCCTCAATCTTTTAGGAGGTGACTATAAATTATAAGCCCACCAATATTTGGGAGGCATCACACATAATTAAGCACAGCTTCTATCACTCTCTCCTGTCTTTTATAGCTTGTATCTCCCTGCTCTACCAACACTCCTCGAAGTAATAAAATACTCAGACGACCTAGCCCTTGATAGTGAATGTAGATCAAGTTGATTGAACCACTCTACATCTTTGTCTTGCTTGTTTTTCTCTCTTACTTCTTAATTACTACATTAATTACTAATCATTTGACAAGTGGTGCATAATACTAATATGTGTGTCATCAATACTATAACTAGATTTCTTAATGCTCTATTTATTTCTTAATGCTCTATTTAAGATGGAATTGAGGTCTTGGGGAGAAACAACTACCCTTTTTTCACAGTACGTGGGCCCCTGATGTGTTCTTTTCATTGTTTAAGCAACTCTCATTGTGGTTTTCTCTGCTGTGATATTTCATTGTCGATGTCCTCTTTTCATGTAGTGTTGTTAGAAGGAGATATAAAATTTTGATATAAATTTATTCTTGTGTACAATAGTAAAACATTCAATATCTAAAAGAAAATGGGTTATGAGACAACATTTTCCAAGTGTTATAAATAAGGGATAAGTTAAAACACTACAAGAAAACAAATAATTTGTCGCTGAAAGTAAATAATTCTCTGCTAAAGGTTTTTCGTGACAAACAAATTTCTTCGCACATTGTGGCAGTAAGCTCATCTCTGAAAATATTTGGCGACAAACAAAAATATCTTCGTTAAAAGTAGAGAATTAGCGACCAAAACTTAGCCTCAAAAAAAAAATCATCTGGTTATTACAAAACAACCTTCGTCATTGAAGGAGTTTTCGATTGTGGTTGAATTTTCTATTTTTGGAGATGACATAGTTTTCGTCACTGAAAATTAAGATACCTCTTGTGACCAACGTAATTTCTTCATCAAACAATGAAAGGATACTTTCTCCCTTAAATAATAGGAAAAAAAATCTATTTGCCACCATAAAATATGGAGATTTTTAGCGTCCAAATTTTGCTCA